TGAAATCGGAGTTTACCACATGTGCGTGAGAGAAAGATGTTGTGATATTACAGAAAGTTTTGAAACATGACGCAGAATTAGGGTGTTGCTTGTGTCTTAACAGTTTAATTTTGAAATTATAAATATGTATTTATTCATGGCTTCAGGATCTTTCAATGAGAGAGTGAAGGTAGAGGTGAAGTAATGAGGACGTGATGTAATTTTAAGAATTTTGGACATCTTATGGAAAATAACATCAGAAATTCCAACCAGCGTGTTTTTATACTATATGTCTTAATCCATGCCTGGAGCGGCTCTTTGATAAATAATGTTTAAACATGGAAATACATTTTTCTAATTCAATATATCTTATAGAAAATATCAGTGCTGTCTTTGTATGTTTTATACATTGTTATGTTACATGTTGCTTTAACGTGTATTATGGAACTGACAAATAAAGCTGCATCTGGATTTCAACAGTGAGACACACACAAAAATACATAATAAGAACAATACCAGTAGCTGCTTGTTTGCTGGATTTACTGTCTCACTCATTCATTTTAAAGACTCTGCGTCTCGCTGACTGTTTCACACACTGATTGATGTCCTTGCTGATTAACTGGCTGACAAAGTCACCGTCAGACAATAGAACCGAAAGCAGCTGCTTGTATGCAAAGAGGCAGGTGCTAATTCAGCGCGGCTCCTACAGCGGCTAATGTCGGCCCTCTACCATTAAAAATGGGGTAAATACTGCCACGAGAGGCTGTCAACATTTATAGGAAGGACTCTCGACATACACAAACCACTTGTGCCGTTCTATGTCTCCCGGTCTGTTTCCTTCCGTCTCTCTCGCTCCCACCTAGCCTGACCTAATCAGTGATAAGTTGAGTGCCTTCGTCAACAGCGCAGCCCCCTTAATTAGCAGCACGTTGCAATAAGCTCATGTGTAAGCATCACTGTACTGAGTGAGCGGGAATGTGTGTGTGTGTGTTACCAGCCTTCAGACTGACCTCAGCTCGCTCCAGTCAATCTGCTAATAAGTCAGTCAGTGAACTTAGCCTCCTGCACACAGATGGAGAGGTTTAATGGGTATTAAAGAAGGAAGGGCTGAACAGGTAAGTGAGGATGAACAGGAGCAGCCTATAGAGCAGGCAAGCCTCCAAAAGAACAGAATTTATTTTCAGCGATTATGGCTGTTAAATGCATCCACAAGTGACGGAAGCTGTTCTTTCACAATAATAAACAGGCTGCAACCTGCATGTTTCCCTCTCTGTGTAAACTGTATCCCATTCCACCCAGCTCCAGGTGACTACGATAATACCACAGAATCTCACCTTCGTATATTTCTCAATTCTTTCTTCTGTAATGTAAAAACGTCATTGTCATCAAGGCCGGCATCAGATGTTTGCACAAAGAGGACCGGTATCGGGGGGCTGGGGACAGCTCCCACTCTCTCTGCCGTGCCAACTCGTACTCGATGGCTTTCTAAATAAAAAAAAATAAAAAAAATGGGAAAAAAATGGTCTCAGGGACTTTGCTGCATTCCACTTCATGAGCACAAACAAACGGATGAAAAAGCCATTCTGCAGGGAGGGGAAGGGTGGTGGTGGTGGTGGTGGGGGGGTGGCGGAGAGCAAAGCAGGAAAAAAAGCCCCTTAAAAAACACAGGGAGGTAAGCGGTGGGGTGGGGGAGGTGGCGGGTGGGGGCTGGAAGGCAAGCAGACGGAGCTGAAAACCCAAAGTGACTCCACTACCGATAATGAGCGGATCATTTAAAAAGCCCTCCTCAAATTGCCTTGAGGAGGAGAAGAGAGAGGAAATGGCTTGAAAGGTTTTGAGAGATTTTGGGCAATGGACAGAGTGGTGAAGGGAGGCGAGGAGGGGCAGGTACGAATCAGAGCAGGGGAAGTGTCACTACGCCGAGCTGCAGGGTGCACACACTGTACACTCATATCTGTGAAGCAAGTTGACCACCTGAAGCCTGCATCTGTATGTAACTAGAGTAAGACCGAGGAGAGCCGAAGCAAAGACAAACAATCCTCAATATCCATCCATCCATCCACCCATTCATCCATCCACCATCTACCAAAGGGCTCAACAGAGTGGTTCCAGAAGTAGAAATCCCAATCATTTTCTGAATAGAGACTTTGATTATCAGCCATTATATTGTAACCACCCAAGGTCGACTTACCACAAGCTCCTAGATTGTAAAACAGTGTCACATCCTCCTGTAGGAGCCACACATTTCAACTGCATTTTAAGGAACACATGTTTTAATTGAGCTGTCAAAGAGAAGCACTGTGCTACCCACAATCCTCATGGTGTAGTAGCTACATCGCTAATTTATGGAAATAGTACCACAACCAAAAAAAATGTCTATAATCACTAGGTTACTAGATCATACACTGTATGAAATGTTAAATACTTACATATAAAACACAAACTATTATATAATCCCATTAGAAGTGCTGGAAGTTCAAATGATCAATCCCAATGGTTTATTGGATAATTGCTCCACTCGTAAAATACAGTCATCACATCATTGTGAAGGAATGGAAACCAGAATTGCCAGTGTGTCTTACAGTCAATCCCAAACATATAACAAGAGCCATATATTATTTTATGAGAAATTGATGAAAATAAAAAAAGCCCTATTTCACAATATTAAGGGAAATTATGAAAAAATCCTCGACTGCACCAAAATTTAAAAGGTTCCTTCCTGGTCACCACATTTGGGTTGAATTAGTAATGAAAACATGAAAACATAACCTCTTTGGTAAAGGTTACTTATAAAAGAAAAAAAGAAAAAGAGAAAAAGTCAATACATTTTTGGAAGGGATCAAATGAAATACTCACTGTCTGACCTTGAAATTCAAAGACTAAAATTAAGATGTGTTCAAATGTTTTTTTTTAGGACTACAGGAATGGAGTCAAACTAAAACCTGCCAGTCAAAGTGAGGCCAGACACAGTTTCTTTTGTATTACAGTGTGTGTGAATGTGTATTTGCTGTCAGCAGTGGTGCCATGCAGCAGAGGCAACCAACCCCAGGCCCTGGAGATGCCAGCTCTACCTGGCGGCAGAGTATCAACAAAACACAACACGTGTCTGGACTGCAGCTGAGCCCATGACGAGTTCATGTGTATGGAAGATCTGTGTGTGTGTGTGTGTGTGTGTGTGTGTGTGTGTCTATACCACTGCTGTCTGCAACTGTGACCTACACGAGTGTGTGTGGATGGATGCACTGTATCATGAGGTAGATTTCAATGCTCTGTTTAACAGGATGCAGACAGAGGTTATTATGCATATTAAGCAAACATGGCAGAAAGTAATTAACACACTGAAGCATAAAAACGTTGCTGTTTGGGTTTACATTGTTCACAAGCACCTTTCAATATTTCATCTGTGTAAGTTAAAACTATGTCGTTGTTGTGTGAACAGCTTATTCCATTGCCCCAAAGAAGTGTTTTAGAGTGAAAGAAAGTGGCTTTGCTGGTTCCAGATCAACGTATTTGTCATTTTCTCATCCAGCGCTAACTTAGTGAAATTAGCTAATGCAGGATGAGATGTGTTCAGACCAAACACGAAGCTAATTTCCAGCCCCTGGTCAGTTTTCGGAGTAACTGGTGAAGTCAGTCACTAAGTCAAGGCAGCAGAAAACATTTGGTTCAAAGAACAACAGGTAGCTGCAATAAATAAGAACAGAATTAAACTAGCTGATATTACAAATATTAAATATTAAAAGAGAGCCCACTGTCTGTTTCATTGAGACGTCAACTGGAAACAACCAGAAACATACAGTGAATAGGAAAAAGTAAGAACGTTTCCAGAGGATTTTTTTCTTTGAGATCTCTCAACCAACATAGTAATTCACATAACACTCGTTTGCATGGAGGCTAAATTAATCTCCCCGTGTTAACAATTTTGTCATCCTTTACAATCTGTGCCTCACTTTTTTCCAGTCCTCGCTCTCTTTCCATCTCTCCCTCCTCCCAGCGCTTGCCTCTCTCCCCCTCTCCTCTTTTCCTTCCCTCTCCATCTTGACACAGTGCACTGAGCCTAATCGTGGATAATTGGGTGGGAGGGGCAGTGGGCCGTTCCTGCCTTTGTGTGCAAAGGGCAAGTGGTCAAGTTAATGGGGCCCTTGTGTCGAGCTGGGAACACTCTGTCTCTCTCTTTTTCTCTGTTCGATCACTCACTCGCCAGTCAATCTCAGTCTCTCAGTCAGCCTCTCTTTTCTTTCACGGGCGAAGCTTTTCCCCGCTGTTTCGATCTAGTTTCACCTCATTTCCAGCTGTCTCCCTTCGCCTTTCCTTCCTGCCACTCAGTGTCTTTTCCCATTTCTTTTCTCCTCTCCTCCTCTGTCTTCTTGTCTTTTTCAGCCTCTCTCTCTCTCTGTCTCTGCAGCTGTTTCTATTGCTTCTCTCCGTCTCTTCGGCAGAGTGTCAGGGAGGAGAGAACAGACCTTTTTAAAATATCAAAAGACAGATCAGGAGGCCTTGCTGGTGCCTCCCTTTCTACCAACTCTCCCTCCCTCCTCTGACTGATAAACAGAAGAGTGAGCCCGCAGGATTAGCCAACGCTGTGTACTGCCCTCCCTCCCTTCTTTATCCCTCTCTCTTTTCTCTCACTGAAGGAGTGGACTGTTGACTGGTCTTGATATGTGTGTGTGAGCACTAAGTGTGTGTATCTGTGTGTGTGTTACCTTGTCTGGCACCAGCTTAGCCTGCAGGAGGCCATTGTGTTTGAAAGACAGGCCACAGCCGATCTGGGCCTGAAGGAAACTTTATTAAATCTGTGAGCGTTTAACACTGGATTGTTAATAATGTAACTCACACAAGCAGCTTTGTCGAGCAGGTCAGGTTATTAAGACAGAAGACAGAAAATCTATTATCCCCAATGTAATTTATTTTGTGATGTTGAAATGTTAAATGATGAAAACATGTCTTATATTTTTCCTTTCTAGATTTTCAAATGAGCAATTTGAAATTAAAAAAATGTCCAGAGTCCAAAGTTTCTTGAGGAAAATGCTTTTATTTTTATTCATTCACAAAAAATATCACCCACTCTTAGACTGCAAACTACATTCAACCCACTGGGAATCTGATATAATGAGCAGAGACTCACTATATGAGGCCATGTCCACACTAAAGTAGATAAATGGAAATATTTCAATTAGGTGCAGGCTACATTGTTCAGTTCAGTAAACATTACAAAAATGCTAAAAGCTAATGCATTTGACCCTGCACGGAAAATTAAGCCAGCAGCTTTAATGCATATCACATGCTAGTTGTACATAATTGTCTCTATATGCAGAAAAATGCAGTAAAATGCAGCAAATGCCACATTAACGTGTTCGGTTTTTTTTGTGGTTAGCTGTGGGGGGAAAAAAGGCCATAACCGAAAAAATCAGATCCTAATTGAAATGTATCAGGATTAGTGTGGACATCACCGGCAAATGACCAAAGAATCAATGAGTTCTGTCTCACGACATCTCACAGCACAATGTCACAAATGTAAAGGAACAGAACATTCCTGCTTCATGTTTGCCTGAAGAGATTCTCAGGCTGCAACACAGGATCTCTCTCTTACTATTATTAATGTTATCAAATCCATGGAAAGACGTCTCCAAAAAACACTGACTATCTCTGGCTCTTTGGGGTTGGGTGGGGTAAGTCTCCTCACATACGGCACTAATATCACAACAAGAGGTAACAGCATCCTCATTGCCCCGTTCTGAGCTGACTGATCCCATCACAAGTGGACAGCGTTAAGTTCGTCTGGTATTAAAATGTGTCCTGGATGTGTCTCGTGTGACCATCTGCGATTGGATCTCAGTTCTCCGCTCTATATGCAAATAATCACGTGCATAATTTCTGAATGCGAAGACCATATGATGTTGCTCTTGCTCAGCTAGAGATTGAAATCAATTTAACTGTAGCAGGTCAGAAGACGTCAGCTGAGCAGGCGTATGTGGCCCAGGATGCATTTGCGTTCACACAGCGATAAGACTGTGGTTCAGCTGATCAGACCTGTTTTCAGAGCTGACCACTTGTGATCACTCAGGATGGGTGTTGATAGCAGGTCTGAACGGGGTCCATGTGAAAACGGGACATTACAACAGCTTATGGGTTCACCAGGGGAATATTTTTTGCAACTGACAGAGGCAGCGATGTCGCAAGAAACCACGCAGACTTCACAGTAAACGGCGAAGACCGATGAAGTGTGGCGTCGTTATTAGTGGTAGAGTCTCGGCTCACAGTCACAGTTGGGATGGTATTAATACAGTATGTTAGCCCACAGGTATCAAAGGTATCCAGCTAACTGCATTGCAGATAAAAATGTAGTTAACTACACTTCTAAACCTTTGCAATGCAATTTAAGTCCTCAAAGCACCGAGAGCCCTGATAAACCTGGATTAATTTAGCTTTCAGAGCAGAACACGAAGGGAATGCTTTTCTTTTCTGAAGGTGGATTATTCTTTTTTTAACATGAGAAACGTAAACACCAGCCGCTGGGAGATACTGCATAGCTTCTTGGCTGTCGTATATACAGCGTGGATCACAGTGAAATATGGAAACACCTTACTAGTGATAGGTACAACTTCAGGCTTGAGTGACCAGCTAACACTTGGCATGTTTTAATAACACTTGAGAGAAGAGAGCGCTGAATGCAAGAGCAAAGACCTGAGGAAAGCTGTGCTGATCGAAAAAACGCCAACAGAGGATCGCGAATTGGCCTGTGATGTGTAAACTTTTTTAATCTTGAGATTGTGGGACTTTTAAAACTATGGTGGCACTTCTTTGATAAATCTGAAATCATACTTTACTCCTGCACTGGTTGTGGCTGCGTCGTTTTCTTTTTCAAGCTGCTTGTTCTCTTTAATATTGTTGTTTTTCAGGCATTTTTTGGTTTTACATTCATACTGAAAATGTGTTTGCCACTTTTTTAATATCATTGTGTTAACAGATACTGTATGACGTCTTTTATCTGTATAGTGGCAATAAGAATACTGTAGTATTCCTTTTCCTTTTTCTGGAGAGATAACATGAGAAACAGAAAGAAATAGTCTTGCCATGTACAGAATGTAAAGACAAATTAACAAACCATTAAACAATTATCTACCAATATGTCATCATATAAATAATCAGTATACTGTTTGTAGTGATCTAAATATATTAAGAAGCAAAGCGTTGCTCAAAAACCCCTAAAATAGGCTAAAGCATGAACATCGAGCACGATGCTTCAATCACAGAGAAGAGAAGAGGTAAGAGACCATCCAGAGGTAAGAGACCATCCAGAGGTCTGCGTTAGAAATATCAAAAAACAGAAACAGACGTGATGCACAGAAATCTGGCTCTGTGCAGCATATCTTAGACCTTTTGAATCTATTCCACAGTATTGGGGTCACTCTTAATAAATGCGAGTAGTTAAGGAGTCATCACAACTAAGGTGTCTCTCTTCAGACACACACACTACCTGAAGGTGGTTCAGACTCAGAGCTTCCACCAGCGTGTCGCAAACCTTTCAACAGACTGTGTTGATCTAAATACTGACCTCAAATAAAAGTGGGAGAAGAAAGAAACAGAGAGAAATAAAGGAAACTGTGAACTGCTCCACAGTCTGTGATGGTAAATATATTTGAGCTGTGGCCACAAACACAGTGACAGGGTTGATACCAACCGGTCAACTGACTGAATGACTGACCCCTCTTCAGCAGGAATGACTGAGGCTACATGAACACTGCTACGCTTTTTGTTTTACGTCAGCCGTCCACACTCCTGTAAAACCTGAGAAGTCTGGAAACACTGCTGGCCTTTTTTAAAAGAAGTGCGGGACTGTGTTGTAGTCTGTTTGTGATGGTGACTGACTGCTTCACCTTCCTGGATGGCTGGTTAACTAACTGAATTGTTTAAAAGGTTTAAAGGTTGTTTTTAACACATGGCAGATGGTTAGAATAGATATGAATAGATAGAATGTGCCTAACTCTTCCTTCTCTTGTACAGTAAATGTATCCCCACTGCTTTGGAAATGACATTGTTCCTCACCAACACTTCAAACTACAAAACAAACACACTCCAATATTAATATAAATTCTCTCAGTGGCCGACCTAAATATAAAAATGTCTCAAATACAACCGCGGCTTGATTTCCCCCCATTTCTCAGTTTGACTCGACACTGAGACAAACGCAGCGTCGGTGTTTTCTAATACTGTTCTTTTGACTCAGACCACATTGTTGTCTCTGTGGCGTCAGTGTGGGACGGTGTGGAGATGAGGGCTCACTTGATTTACAGAGAGAGGCCGACAGGTCCTTTGGTCAGGGTGAGGAGGAGAGGATAGTGGATGTTCTCGTCGTAGGCTTCTTTCCCCTCTCTCTGCATCTGGAAAACAAAAAACACGAACAAATCCTCAACTACAAAGACTCCCCTGAAAAAATATGACTTTAGATTC